CATAAAGAAAATTCATATCACAGGATAACTAGCCTTCCATGGAAACGAACCCCTAAGAACGGTCTGCTGGGAGGCTACGGGATCACCTGCGATCAGCCGTTCTTTTTTCGAGGAAAGTGCGAAAGTCGGCGGACGGGGAAAACAAAAAGCAAGGGAACAATGACCGCCTGATAGAGGGTTCATCAAAGTTAAAAAATGGTGACATGTAATAAAAACAACATATACTGGATTAGAAGTTACTTTTCAAACAGAAAGCAATATGTTGAATATAATGGCCACCGTTCGTTAAGAAATGAAAACTCTTGTGGGGTTCCTAAGGGTTTATCCTCGGACCTCTTCTCTTCTTACTGTACATTAACGACATCAACAATGCCTCTAATCTATTAAATCTGATACTTTTCGCCGACGATACCAATGTATTCATGTCACAAAAAGATCTGAACTATCTTTAAGCTTGGAGATGGACAAACTGTCAATCTAACTGGTTTAAAGCAAACAAGCTTTCTCTAAATCTTAAAAAGACTAAATTTATGGTCTTTAAACCAAGACAAAAAACGTACAATTTGTAATATTCAAATAAGCATAGATAATAAAAATATTGTTAAAGTAAAGGAGACAAATTTTCTAGGAGTAATTTTGGATGAAAACCTAAATTGGAAGTCGGAAATACATATCACACGTCGCGAAGAATAAAGTTGCGAAGTCAATCGGTATAATATCTAGATGCAGCTTCTTTCTTCCTCAAACGTCTCTGCTATTCTTTAATTTATCGTTATTTTTGTCACTGCAATATAGTTTGGGCTTCGACCTATAAAACCAATCTCCGCCGTCTTGTTCTCTTGTTATCCTGCAAAAGTGCATTATTAGAATTATTAATAAATCACATTGCAATACTCACACAGACCTCATCTTTAAGGACCTCGGTATACTAAAATTCAATGATTTCCATTTTCTTCAACTGCACCAATTTATGTTTTCTTGCAAAAATTCATTTTTACCTCCAAGGTTTAATAACAATTTCTCCCAAAGCAACCAATTCCACTCTTACAATACAAGAAATTCCCAGGCCTGCCGTCCACCGTATTGTCGAAAAAACACTAAGAAGTTCTCGCCCTTTTTTCAAGCACCTAAGTTTTTTAATTTACTTGACGACGAGGTCATCAACTCTCAATCCCTTTTCTCTCTTAAGAAAATACTGAAGATTAAATTATTGAGTAAATATGAAAACAGTTCATAAATCTTTCCATCTTCGACTTTCCGCCATCTTTTCTTCAATTGATGTAAACAGGCCTACAAGATTTCCCTTACGTCACTCAGGTTAAACCCTTTCACTTCCAAAAGTGGCAAAATGCTGAAAAACAGTACCTGGTAATTGTATGAAAGTATCCTCATAGATGTTCCATTTTGAATGGTCACACTGTAGGATTTTGTCCACCAAACTTTCCATTTCCCTGCTAGCAGAGCAAGCGGAGAGGGAGAGGAAAGAGGGAAATTTCTGCCAGCCCGCGGTGCTTCTTTCAAGTTGCCGCCGACTACATTTCTGGTCAAAACTTACTGGTTTTCAAAACCAGTTTCATTTAATGTGGAATCCGTTTGCCCTAACTGCACGCTGGAAATTTTTGAGCCCACAGTTGTTATTGCGAAAACTGGTTCTGTAAGTTGTGTCGCATGTGACAAAGACATTACTGGTTGTTGATGGTACAAGCATGATAGAAAACACATCAGGGGCAGGCAGAGGTCTCTTTCCTATCAATTTTCTATCAGTTTTCTTTTTGCTAGCAGGGAAACTCTCTATTAACTCTGGGAGTGAAAGGGTTATAAACTGAGTAAAAGATTTGAATAAGTTATTCTTGAAACTTGAGAGTATTCTTCGGCTGTTGCATATAAAATATATCATTAGGGACTGGTCAAAAAGCATAGGGGGGGGGGGGGGGGGGGG